GCTTTTAATAAGTGAGTAAATAAATCCAAAATTGTAACCCTAACCCTTAAGGAAAGGGGTCAGGGTGCATGTGTAGGCGTAGTGTGTGTGGCAGAAGAGGAAAACTTGCTGAAGAGACTGAGCCCTAGCCTCACGCACCTTGTGGGATTTATCAAAATTGATGAACCACACAAAGAATATTAACGTAGACTAACCATGTTCCGTACACTTTGCGCACATCACTGCACTCCACTGACCACCACATTGTTGTTGAGAGCCTGACAAGCATGTTTGTATGCTCATTCCCTGGGGGAATACCTATTGGACGGTTTATTCTTTGATTGATGTCTTTTGAACCAATAGTATTTAAGATAAGTGGGGAAAAGTATGTGTACGGCTGTTCATTAGGGTTAACGGTGTTCCGTACAGGCTATCAACGGTGTTCCGTACAGACCGAATAACTTGATTTCAATGGCGAAAATGGACGTTATTACATGTACCATATGTGAGTTATTAATTTATTTTAAAAGAGAGTAAGTTATTTAAATTATTAATAAAGGTCAGGAAATGTAATTTCTTTAAAACACGAGGTAATTACTACGTGCCTTTTAGCTTTAATAAGCTAAAAGGCACGTGAGTTAATCATGAACCATGTAAAATGTTATTGGACAACATTACCATGTCTTTCTGAAGAACAAGAATAAGGGCAAACAATGTGCATTTGTTAAATTTTTTTTAACCTTATCTTAATCCTTTATAAATATTAATGTCATCACTGCACACAGGATGACATGCAAACAGCGTCTGTGTCAACAGACATGCTGCGTCTTTGCTGCCTGTGAGAGCGGTCATTGCCCGGAATTGATGTTTAAAAAGTCCTATTTCAAAGAATTTATTCAACAAAATGTAATATATTTGATTTGTGATAACATAATAATCATTTTATAAAGAGTGTAGTACTGTGAGGAGCATTAATTCAAACTAAATGTACATTTTCGCTGTTGTAGTAGTCTCCCCACCCAAGCTGCTTTTTGGACTGTAGCTTGCCCACTCTCCATTTTCAAGCGCAGTGGGCGCACCTAGCAAACTTACTGAAATCACACTGAAACAAGCGGCGGGGGGGTCTCTTTTTTGGTCGGGAATAAAAGAGGGGGAAATTATGATTACACACATATATAGTTTATGTATAACCTGGAAGTAATTATTAAGCGATCGGTGGGAAAATGGTCATCTGTACAGAAAATCGGTGTGTACGGAACATGGTTAGTCTACGTTATATCGTTTTTGAATAGAACTTTAAATAGACCTGCGAGGAACCACGATGTGCATGCAGTTGCAGGCCACATGGCATGCACACAAAACTCTGCACATGACTAGTGAATGGCAGGCGAGCAGAGAGAAAATAGTCAACAATAAGCCTCGGTTTAGCTGTTACATTGACTAATGATTAAATACTGCAGCTCTGCAGCTTCTCAAGATTAAAGCGGAGCGACCGTGTGGAAAACCCCCTCCCCCGCTCGCAATTGCAGCGCACAAACTATAATAATGTAAACTGCACCTTGAATGTGAAATTTTATAGTTGAAAAGTTCGATTTTTGAAGATTGGAAAGGTGAAAGACCTGGAAATCTGACTTCTAGAAATCAATGTTTAGTACATAATGCAGATTTGTAAGATTAATATGTACAGTAACATATTGAAAGTTAAACTGCTAAACTTAACTTATGTTAATGACACTGATATGTAACATCTTCAACAATTAATATGTTAAGCCACACATTGAACATGAAAATTTCACACTGGTTTTGTAATTTTTTTTTAAGTTAGCATGCTAGATGGGGTATGCAAAATACGTGGAAATGTGATGTCCAAAATCCATATACTACCTTCCCAATCTAATATTCTAAGTTTTGGGTGTTAAGGGACAAGGTACAAAATAAATGTAATCGTCATATTACAACATGTTTGTACAATTAAATGCAGTTTGTAGTTCCCTTCTGCTCTAAAGCAGATAATATAATGGTAAAAAGAAATAAACTATATTGCATGGAGCAGTGCCGAAGATGAATTTGAATTTAAGAGACTTACAGCCTGGGGACCATCAACTGCAACATCCATGATCCGAGTTCAGAGCTTTGTTTCTACTCTCACTCCAGTCTTCTCTCCTCCATCCACAATAAAGGCATATAAATGCCCCCAGAAGTCCTTTAATATTGTGTCCTGTCCAGTCCACCTGCATTTCACTTCTGAGGCTGTCTGGCTTAGAGGCTCCTCTAGTCAGGCTCGGTGTAGACGTGTAAGATTCTAGAATGTTGATGCATCAAAGGCATGAAAGATCCTGCAGAATTCTGGAATTCTGCTGCACACACACACACACACACACACACACACACACACACACACACACACAGCCTTTAAGATACAAAATGCATTCAGTGACCACATCTTTCACATTTTATTAACAGTTTTTTCCCCTCAAACTCAACCATCACCGAAACTCTGTATTTACACTCAGTTTTGCACGCTGACATACAATTGTCAAATTGTTAAATTTACGTTCAAAACCTAACATAACTAAAAATAAATAAAAATGGTGGGGAAAGGGGGCAAGTGAGGAAGAATCCAGAATGTTTTTTGATAGTATGGGACAATGTGGTGTTTCACCATGTCTTCCAGTCACGTGGTTTACAGTCCAGCTCAGGATGGTGTCACTTTTCCTTTAACCTTACTTTCCATTCCTTAACCCCACACAGGACCTTTTCCCTCATGGAGGTAGAAAGTTTATGACCATCAGCTACATGACCAGATGTTTACTGTTGCAGGATGTCTGGACATATCTGCAGAATATTTCCAGGACAGATCAGACATGCAAAAAGGTATTGCAAGAGAGGACATAAGGAAGGACAAAGACTATAGCTGTGTCCCAAATCCAAACTATACACTAATTCTCAGATGGTTTCCAGTATGTATGTAGAGCATTCATGTTTGAAAAGGGACAAAATCACATGGACTATCACTATCTGCATGGCTAAATCAGCCATGCAGATAGTGACAGACCTTGCTAGTAGCAGAAATGTAGATGTATGGGGATATGTGAACAAAAACCTTATTACCGGATATTATAGGGGAAGAATTAAAATACATTGTCAGTAAAAATACATTCAATACATCAATCAATCATACATTCAACTTTTCTTTTTTGCCAGATGCATACTTCATTAACATTTCCACTGATGAAAAACATAATCGGGTGGCATTATGTTTCCTCTGAAGCATTGCAGATTACTACAATATAAACATTCTTTCTAGGAGACAGAGTGGCATAATTGGACTCATTAATTTAATGTCAGCATCTGGTATAATCAGATCAAAAGTTGTATTTTGATGGACATTTAAAGCTAAAAATTACACCAGGGCTATCTAAGAATTTATGTCACTAACTTAGAAAACAAATAACACTGATGTAACATGTATGTGCTAACATTAATCAAGTAAAATACATATGCTTATCCTTAGTCACTCAAAAAACAGATCAGCTGTTTCTGGCTTATTTGAACTAAGCTGTGATTCTGTGTGTTTCTAGCAAAATATTATTTAACCATTAAACTACACTAAACTTCTTCTCACAAAGGCAGTAGTCGATACTATGTCATATTGTATATACTGTATACCAATACACCTGCCTCAGGTCATAAGGTCATAGGTCTTATTTATTTTTTCCAGCATCCTCTGCACTATGCTCCATCACACTGTGTACATGTATGCATGTATGTGTATGTGTACCTGTATATCATATCCACCTTCAACATGTACATAATGAGAATAGGTTTACTCTTGCATCCTTTGCACTCTGATCATTGCACTATTTGTCAATATGTCTATATTGTTTTGTTCATAGTGTGTATATTAGTGTTGTCTATTCTGTAGTTTGTGTCTGATTTAATTTTATTATTATTTTATTATTGTGTTATGGTATTATTGTATAAGTAAGCACATCGTGAGCAATGTAAAATCCTGAGTAGAATTCCTCGTATGTGTACACATACCTGGCAATAAAACTGATTCTGATTCTGATATTTTACCAAAGTAAAAGCAGCAACACCACAGTGTAGAAATACAAGTCCTGCATTCAGACTTTTACTGTAAATAGTCATTATGCAGAATGGCCGATATCAACATAATGTATATTATTGAATTATAATTATTTATGCATTAATATGTACATTAGTTTACAGTTTTTCTCAGTCGCTTTGATACATACATAACATGTGCAAAACAGTAAACAGCACCACACAGTGGATTACCAACAAAAGCCCGAATCTTACTAAAAATCCTTAATCTATCTCTTAAAAGTAATATTTATGTCAGTTAAGACATGTTTACCAACAAGATACAAAGAATGTTTAGTCATGTTGTCTATATATATGTTGTCCACTACCATCTCCACTGTCTTAAGAGCGTTGCACTCCGGTTAGTTCTGTCTGCACCAGGTCACCAGATGGTCAATCTCCCACCTGTAGGCGGACTCATCCCTGCCAGAGATGAGTGAATAAGGGTGGTGTCATCCGCAAACTTCATGAGCTTGACAGACTGGTGGGATCAAATCAAGAAGGGATCAATAAAGTCTTTATTCTATCCATAATACATCATAATTTATTTGTTGATTTTATTTTGTATTATTACAGTTTTGCTCAATCGATTTGGCACATTTACTGAAACAAACTGAAAATTGTCAAAAAGTACAATCCTCACACAATGTGGTATATTCAGCGCACAACTCTATGTGACCTGCAAAAGGTGATTACTCAAATGAATTAACTTGTGTTTCAAATGTAAATGAATCCATCAATGAATAAATTATTGTAATCAAAACAAAAGATTCCTTTATCATTGCTTAGACTAAGACAGTCAAAATGCAAAGATGTCTTGTCAAATGAGTGAAAGTGTGATAGTTCCCCACTATGGTCCAATTGCAAATACTTAGGCAGCTGAGTAGTATTGATGTAAGCCATGGCACACACTATGCTTTCATCAAAACATTTATTTCTCATTGTATGTACACACCAGCCAACCACAAATACATAAAGAAAGCTTGTGCAGAAAAAAAAACAGCAAAATTATCAGCAAATACTGTACAGTCTGTTCAAGAAAAAACAAAACATGCAAATTTATCAACCTCATGGGTCATCCAATCTCTCCTGTCTGGCCACAACATTTATCCACGTCACACCTGATATCCCCCCGTGCAATGCAAGGAGGGAAAAAATCTTTTGGCATGACGCAGCCACCCCCTACAACAATCAGCTGTAATAACCTCACAACCAGCATCCATTGCACGCAATAAGGACAACTGGTCGCAAGGACGGTGATCATATACTTTCCATCTCCATGCTGAAAAGAACTCCTCAATGGGATTTAGGAATGGGGAGTATAGTGGGAGAAACTCCATAAAAAAAATGTGGCTGGGTCACAAACCATTCCTTAACTGTGTTTTAACGATGGAAGCTTACGTTGTCCCAAACTGTAACATACGTTGGCAAGTCATTTGTGACCAACCCCCTCTCATTCTCAGGACTACGATCCCTGTAAAGAGTTTCCAGGAAATCGAGGAGACGTTGTGTTATAGGGCCCAATGATGGGAATGTGGCTGAGTACATCATTCTCACATATGGCAGCACACACTGTACTGTTCCCTCCACGCTGGTCTGGCCGACTGCAATTTGAATATCTTTTAATCTAATAGCACTGTTTGCTACTAGCATGTTACAAATTTCAACCTCTTGTTGAGCAGTGAAAACTGATCTTCTACCACCACCATGGGGCAGACGCTCAATCCTAGACAGAAAATACAGCACAGTAAAGTCAATGTATTCTACATACATTCTGAGACATGCATTATTAATACTGGAGTATCAGTGTAAAGGCATATTGCAGTATGATATTTGGTTACATACCTGTTTTCTCTCTTGAATGTCTGGACTATTGATGACACTGTGGACCGGCCCAGGTCAGGCTGCACTCTCTGGCCAGCCTCTGTCATCCTAAGGCCATGGTTGACAACTTGGTCTATAACTGTTGCCCGTAAATCATTTGAGATCTCTCTGTGTCTTTGCCTTTCTGTGGCTCTTCCTCGTCCTCTGTGCCCCCCTCTCCCTCTTCATTTCCTGCTCACCATGCCACCCTGCACTCTAATGCCCCTTCCTCTGGGGTTGGGCAGGCTCTGAGCCCTGTCTGTCTCCTGCGTGCTCCATATTTCACAGCTGTAACATTCAGTCTCACCCTTGCAGTATAAATGTGTTTGAGAACTGATTGTTATGAATTTCACCTGTCAGCTAAATTGGACAGCAGTTGTGTTCGATTGCTATAAATTGTGAGGAAATTGTTTCCCATCTAGCCTAAGTCTATCCACGTTTACAATAATATCACATAACAATTACGTATAGAATATATGTGTGACCAGGAGCATATAATAAAAATACTCAAATTACAGTACTCAAAATACAGTACTTGAGTAAATGTATTTAGTTTCCGAGGTAAATTATCCACAGAGTTCTGCTTTCATTGTGCGCGCTCCTGAGAAGTTCATGCACTTCTGTTATCGACAGGAACGCAGAACCAGCCGCACTTGTCAGGAGATCACATGATATGACAAAGCAGCTAGCCACTTCCTGTTAGACTCTTAGCCGATTCACATCCAAACGGCCGCAGCGACTGCGACTACTGTGTCATCCAAGATGCTGGCCCTCATAAACAGGCTTTTGGACTGGTTCAGGTCCCTCTTTTGGAAAGAGGAGATGGAGCTTACGTTAGTGGGACTTCAGTACTCCGGGAAAACCACATTCGTCAATGTGATTGCAGTAAGTTAAGGGGCTAACGTTAGCCAGCAAGTGCTGTCAGTGCGGGCACAGGCTACTACCTGGGAGAGGTTGTAGACGAAGTTAGGTATAATCGCCACAACATTTCTATCTTATTGTTCCATAAAATCAGATACATGGCTGCTTGACTGGATAGTGTTGGCGCCTTACAAGTAGCCCATATTGCTGCGTTAACTGTTTACGTTATCAGCCCTGCAATTCACTCAGTCGTTATTTGGCTAGCTAGAATGACTAAGTTCTCGGTATGACTGTGCGCTTACTTATGAAACAGGTCATGTGAATAGACTCGTCAGTGTTTTGTAATAGCTACCGGTGTGTCAACATCAAGCATATGTTGACAACATGAGACATGAGTTAGCTTTGTAAACAGACTTTCTTGTCTACGTCATGTATCTGATGTGCACTGAAGCAGACAAGGCCTTTAGCCACCATGGCCACAGGCTGCCTATATTATTAGAAAGATCAGAAATGTAGATATATAGATTGGTTTATAATATCCTAGTGTATGGCAAGCCTACATAGCTGAGTTTAGTATTGCCATAGGCTTCGTGTTTATGTTTCCTCCCAGCAGTGCTCCTGTTGTTGTTAGGTCTGATTTATGACACGTTATCATGTCACTTCTAACTATTAATGTTTAAACTTGTTATGAATCTGTCTGTTGTTGCGTCTAGCTTGTTTAGCCTGTCACAGACTAGGGTAAGGGTTTTATTCTGTGCTCCAGTTGTGTTTAAGTCTGTGTTTCTAGGTGCAAGGCCATAAGAAAACAGTAATAGGCCACAGTAGTGGAGGCTCCCTGTTTCCTGGATTCATCACAACAATACACATTTTCTCTCCCAGCTCTGTTGTAGTCATGTCAGGTGATCTGTAATTAGTTTTGAACAAAGCAGTCTTCTGCTTCAAATAGTCATTGCAATGCTGCTAGACTGGGACTTAAATGAAACACACAACCAAGGCTATATAGATTTTTTGAATGTATTCAAATATTTTATCATGCTCTTAAGGCTTTTAGGCGTAAGACTGCCTCTCAAAGCAGTTTGGCTGGCCTCAGAGTTGGGTGACCCCACCTTTATTATGGTTGGCTGGTTGGTTGCAGAAGGCTTGATTGCAAGCAAATGTATGCTGATGCATTGATGGCATCATATTGGGATGATTCAGAGTAAAAGGGCAGGTATTCAGCTGGAGGCTTCAAGCTGCCAATAACAACTTTATCAAAATGTCTTTATTTAGTTTGACCCCATGTGCAGAAGTGATTCACATACGCTTGGCTTTTCATATGACTTCTAAATCAGATGAAACAATGCTTTAAAGAAATGGCAACATATTTGGATGTGGATACATTGATGCAGACACACTCACAACAAACCCAAATAGTAGAAATTAAATAGGACCTTGCTTACGATGTAAGAAAGGAGGCAAATCAGTGTTCACCTGCATCCTGCCTTTTTTTTTGTCTTGTACAGTCAGGCCAGTTCAGTGAAGACATGATTCCCACAGTCGGTTTCAACATGCGAAAGGTCACTAAAGGCAATGTGACAATAAAGGTAGGCCAACAAGCAAAAGTATCCTGCTGGATGCTTTCACTGTTCAAATGCTAGACCTGTATATTCTACACTGCTGTCTTGCTCATGACTTTTGTGCTTTCTCGTCTCAGATATGGGACATAGGTGGACAGCCCCGCTTCAGAAGCATGTGGGAGCGCTACTGTAGAGGAGTCAATGCTATTGTGTACGTTTGTGAACACTCCAGAGTACAGCACGTGGCGTCTGTGACCACAGATTTACTCTTTGGCTTCCTAAGCTTGCTGGAAAACGGAATGGAAAATATACATACACTAATAAAATACACTTTAATATGTTTATGTTTGACTTGGTGTCTCTACACATAATTGTGTAATTAAAAAATCCATTACACACTCTGATGTTGTATAAATATTTGAACAAAATGTTTGAAAAGCTTCTCATTTTTGGTTTAGTGAAATGATGTGTATTTAACTCTAAGTAGCATTTCTTTTGCCCTTGCAGTTACATGGTGGATGCTGCAGACAGAGAGAAGATAGAAGCTTCCAGAAATGAACTGCACAACCTTTTAGACAAGCCACAACTACAAGGAATTCCCGTAAGAGGACAATTGCGGCCTTTTGGCCCAAAAGTTCATGATGTTACAGCCTCACCTTGTTTCATCACATTGATTCCTAAATGGTCTAGTGACTCTGGAGACAGGCAGGGATTGACCTCATTATTAGTAATCACTGCGACTACTGAGTTGTAGTAACTCAGGTTTAATGAAATTACACTTAGGTGGGCATTTGAAACCTGCCTGTTTTTTTTTAAACGTGTTTTCAAAATCTTAGCTGATAGAAGACTTGACATGGTTTGACGTGCTAAATCGATAGGCTTCCAGCTGCTGTGACTTGAAACCTCGCACACCATTTTATTTCAGCCCAGCAGTAAGGATTCCATGATGAGCGAAGCACATGGCTGAGAGAAATCCTTTAAATTGTCTGATCAAACTGTGCGATTGTGCTGACACATTAATGTGCTGTTTATTGATCGGCCCTTTCTTTTTCTCCTCATGTTTCAGGTTCTAGTACTGGGCAACAAACGAGACCTACCCAACGCACTTGATGAGAAGCAGCTCATTGAAAAAATGTGAGGCATTAGAATACTGAATACTGTATTTTTGTTTCCTGCAGAAACGTCAGGACTCACCTTAGACGTACAGTATACTATAGTCATAGCTAGTGCATGATGAGTCAGTGTCATTATGTCAGACTTTCCCAGTGGTGATTCAAAAATTATGATATCAGACATTTCCATTACATTAAAGTATACACTGTATGCCCATATATAAATACTATGAAGCTGTTGGGAGGAGCATATTAATGCACAGTTTTGGAATGAGATGTTCAACAATCACACAGACAGTGTCCACAGACTTCTGGTCAGATAGTGTAGGTGAATCATTGGCTCTATCAGGGGAATAGCTGTAAATCAGAGGTTATCAAAATAAAACTAGACCCAAATGATAAGTAATGCTGTGATTATTGGTAGGTAATGATGTCCCAAGGTAATCCTAATAATCGGAATTCTTTACAGTATTCTACCGTGTTTTGCCCACTTTAGTGCAAGCATTTCACTGCATGTAATAAGTGAAAATGAACTTGACGCTAACAAATCCAGTGTCCTAAACCTTTCAGGTAACAGCTTCTCCTTTTCAGCCAGTTCCGACCATCGCTTTCCCCGGTTAAAATGACAAATGTCAGCTGTTAGGTTTGATGAATATTGAGTAATTTGATGACAGGCCAAAATGTTTAGTCAGGGAAGAATCTCCACTGTACAATGGCACGTGCACTTCAGGCCTTTTATATATGCTATTAACCAGCCACCTTACTGGTAAATGTAATGTTCTTTACTGTCCTTTTTCAGGAATCTATCTGCCATTCAGGACCGAGAGATCTGCTGCTACTCTGTCTCCTGCAAAGAGAAAGACAATATAGGTAAAGAGCAGATCAGAGTTTCTGCCAACCACATAGACACAGATGTTTAATATTATTTGGGCCTGCTGATGTCATAAAAAATGTCTCCCGCCTGCAGATATCACACTTCAGTGGCTCATCCAGCATTCAAAGTCACGGAGAAGCTGAAAGTGAAGCCCCCCCCAGTCGCAGCTCTGGCCTCAGCCCCCTAATGGTCATGGGTCCCTGACAGCCATCCCTTCCACTGCCTCTGTGAAGTAATCCAGCTCTCTCTGCTCACTACCGGCACCACCTGCACCACCCACCCAGTACACTACCATAGATGTGTAGCCCCTGTACAGCACTACCATCACCCCAACTATCTGGAGTCTTGAAAAGTTGTTTCAGTACTGTGCTAGAAGGTGGATTGTCCATACCTGTCATGCCTTATCGCTTGCCATTTGGGACATGCTCTGTGTACGTCATGGAGTTGTTTTTTTTGTTTGTTTTAATAGCTTCTGTTCCCTTCAACACAATAATCTAATGAAGTTGCAGTTTACTGTTCCCTGGTTATACTAAGATGGAGCTCCTGTAATCCCACATTCAGACATCCGCTCTGTTGCCTGTCAACATTTGGTGTTTACGTGACGAGGTCGTGATTGTAGTTTTTAACAGTTATTTGCCAAATGGATGATGGTGGCTCGCGCTAATGCCTTCAATTCCTGATAAACTGTTAGCAATGTAGCCTGCATTTTATTTGCTGGCGTATGGATGTATCTATTTTATTTAGCGACTTAGATTCAAGTTTACACATAACATAAAGATGAATGGAAGGTAAGACTGTGATTGGTTGTTGTGTCTGAGGCAAAATCCTAAGATGGGTCAGCCGAGTTTTAAGTGCCTTTGGCTAAGTGAGTGTTCCAATCAGACAGTTGTTGCCCAATGCAACTTATAACCCACTATTATAAATAAACACTGGTACAGACACAGCGTAAATCCCTTGATTACACTTAACGCTGGCCCTTGACAATCTCATTTTATGTTTGTAATCATATAAACACATTACGATGTCTGAGAAAAGACGAAAAATGAGAAATGAAGTAATGGGTGAGAGGGATGTGAATGAGAAAATGTTACATTACGTTTGGTTGATGGTTAATTTGAATGTTGTTTCACCTGTAGCCTATGACTCTTATGTAGCTTGACATGTGGGTTAAGTTTGGCTTGCAGTTCTCAGGTTGTTACAGGACTTTAAAAAAAATTGTCTGAACACAGAATGGGTGTGACCAAGAATCTGTCAAAATCCATTTTTGTTCTGGTTGGATAACAGAAAGCCAGTGTTAGTCATGATGACTGAGTTTACAAAGAACAGAAGACAGTCCATTGGTTCAAAGCGTTGGATGCTCGATCCATGCCTTGCCACACCCCTCTCAATCCTGATGTCTTTCTGTAGAAGCCTTAGAAGTCCAAGGACAACACTGTCTCCTCTAAAAGTGATATATTGATTTACACGCAATTTCCTTTCAGCGACAAGACAATGATTTCTTACAGTGTGTATTAATCTGCCCCCTTGCTTTGCCAGTGCATCTTGATCACTTTAAGTTAATTATTTTATTCTGTGTGTGAGTGTTTCTGGATCAGGTTGAGTTATCCCTTCTGCTACAAAACTGGATGTAGGCCTACACGGCTTCTACATTTCACTGTAATGTTGTCTACAAATCCATCACATGCTCACACGTTGCTGTTGTTGTTGTTGTTGTTGTTGTTGTGATCGTCGTAATCCTAAATGTCGATTGTTGGGACCACAGCAGCAGTGAGGGGCTGTAAAATTTGGGGGACTGTGTGGGTAATTTGGGGAAAGCTTTGTTACCTGTGTAATAATATAGCCTATTTGCAATTTGTATGTGCATGTGCTGAATTTATTCACATTCAATTGCAGACTTTGTAAATAAGACGTTAGCATTTTTATTCCAACAAATGCTCCTGTAGATGTCATGCGTTCTTTCCCTGTGATTGCTAATAAATTTGTTTTTATTTTTAAGGAAATTCCTTGAAATGTTGTAAATCTGGTTTGTCACCACTAGGTGGAAGCAGAGGACTTTAGAAGGATAAATGAAGGGAGCTAGTCTACGGACTGTAAACTCCCAGGTTTTGTCTGAAGTTCTCTTTTGGTGCATCATGAACATGCTTTTCAATTCTGTTTATAGTGATTATTGAAAGGCATTGTTTCTGTGCGGGTCTGATAAATCTATCTAAAAGAGATGGAGAATAGAACAGAGAGTATATGAGTGCGATGACTGATTCCATCTCAGTTTACCACTGTTGTCGCACTAAGTCTTACTTGATTGAAACTTCACAAAGGATCATCAGGCAGCTTACCTCCACCTTAACCTTTTTCTACCTTTTGTGGATAGATATGATTCTGTATTTTCCATTAAGCAGCTATTGTTAATTATAGATCCCATAATAGCTGATTAACACCTTTCAGCGATTCTTGGCAGAAATAGCTATTATGCATAGAAATATAACGCACTGCTAAGCAGAATGTTGGGACAAGCGCAGGGAATGGGTCACAAGCTGAGGGGCAATAAAGTGAGTCGTGTTCTCACAGCTGGAGCTGCACAGAGCCGTCGGGAGAGCTGGTCTGTGCTGTTAAAGCAAAAACACCTTAATTAATCTCATTTCTTAAACGCGGCGTTTAATGAACAGCTGCTGGCATTTATTATATGCCAGGGCAGTAGTTGGAACGTGTGGACAGATCTAGGTGTTATCTGATGAAATCCATGGGTCAGTGGAGACCGTGGAGTGTGTGTCTGTATGGGAACTTTATATATGTGTGTGGTTTACAATTGCAATGTCCAGGTGATTAAGTAGTGGTTACAAGCCTGCCACATGGATTTATGTGAGGAGGTCACAGAGAAGACCCAAAGGCGTGCCGTACCATTAATGTAGTTACACTCTATTACCAATGGGCTCATTATGTAACACAACATGTTTTGCACCTACCACCTGTCACAACTGCGCAGTTTGCATTTCTTAGTGCAAACTTGTCGGACAGTCCTATGAATAGCCATTTATTAGCAAAAGTTAATTATGGAATATTCTTCCAGGCGTCATTCACTCCCTGAGTTTAAAAAATCCTCTTTAAAACCACTATAGATGTCTTAAAGGATGTAACTCAACTTTCAATTGGGCTGCTAATACTAACATAATCAGGATCACAGAGACATAGCACTATGTATAGGCGGCTGTATTGTAATCCACTGTGGTCCAATGGATTCCATTGTGGCCAAGTTTGAGCTTACTCAGAATTAATATTGAACTGTAGCAACATAAAACAGCTGTTTGCCATTGCAAGCATCTATTCAGCTTCCTGTCCGATGCACAGAAACTGTTCACATTGAAGCTTTTTTTATTGTGAGGAAATGTTTAATGTCTGTCCAATCAAAGACAATCTTGGAGGGAGGCGGGGCGGGGGAGGGCAGTGGTTCTCCTCCTGGTTGGTCATATATGTGTGTTTGTGTGTGCATCTGAGTTTATTTAGCATGGACATTGGAAGCATTAGTAACTACCGTATTTTCCCTATTAAGACAGTATCTCCATTTCCTTGCTCATCTCTCCAATTCCCTGTATCATAAACAGTTTTTGTGTCTTCCAGACAGGCCTGTAATAATATTTAGTCCACTTCCAGCATTTAGACTTTGGAAGTCATAATGTTTATGATATACAGCATTTACAGTGCACCCACAGGAGCATCTCACTAAATCGCCAAGCTGCGAACATGTGGCTCTGAAGGTGAAGGTCAAGTCTTCTGATTTACAGCACCTGTATTGGAATGAGTTTTAACCAGCAAGATATTAAATCTAAAATTCAGCAGAGAATTGCAAAGCAGATGCAACTTTACTTGGTGGGATCTCAAATGAAGCATTGGCGGATGTGTTTTGCTCAGTGTTTCAATAAATATGAGCAGGATGAAAACGGTCATTTTTATTTAAGACGTGATTGCACATTGGCCAGTTTTTTATTTACCGCTGTTTTGTCCGTAAGTCCTCTTGTTTACAGCGATGACATCAGAGCACCACTGTCATCAGCTGAGCTAAGTGTTGCTTTATTTGTCCAGGGATCTTAAAGCCTCTGTTTTATGAGACGTCAATAAGTTGTTCCAAAGTTAAACTATAGTTTGGGGATTAGAGGTTTGAAGCCCCGGCATTGACAGGCATCTGCAAACGCTTCATTCAGGTCCCCGTGTGGACCATAATTTGGCACTAATCACTATGTGTGGAATGTCACATGATTCATACAGAGCCGCATGGCACATATCGCCATCTTTCACTGCTCTACACCCTGTAAAAGACAGATGGTTACATGCACACACACCCTGTAATAGCTTGCTAAGACTCCAAAGTCGAGTACATTTCTCAACTTAGCTGTTTTATCCCAGTTATAGTGACGTTTATTAGTGCAGATATGCTAGTGAGAGTGTTTGACCCAATGTGATTTTCAGTTCAACAACACGATTTGTTTTGTTTTTTGTTGCATCTGATGCATATTTCTTTACACGCATGGACTTCTTTTTAAGACAAAAACACCTTGAAATCTTCCTTAGAGGGTCCACTCTCATGTTCACTCATTCACAGCTCATAGCAAAATAGACACTAAATAATTTACTCAGTAGTGAGCAATACATTGAGATTTGGGACACTTACTAATTTATTTCGATTTGGGATTCTTAGCAGAAAGTAGTGCAAATGCCATGGACAATTTTGGGATGGATTGCCATGAAATTCAATCCACACATTCATGTCCTTCTCTGTATGAAATGTAATTGGAATTAGTGATCCCATGACTTTTCATATAGTGCCATCATCAGGTCAACATTGAATTTAGTTCAGTACTTTGGTTCATGTCCAAATATTTGTATGAAAATAAGCAAATATTACATTTATCTGACGCTTTTAGCCAAAGCGACTTACAATTGCTATACATGTCAAAGGTCGCACGCCTCTGGAGCAACTAGGGGTTAACTGTCTTGCTCAGGGACACAATGGTGAATGGGTCACAGTGGGGGATTGAACCCGGGTCTCTCACACCAAAGGCGTTTTATCCATCCATCTATCCAATCAGATTTTACGTGGCCAGAAAGACTGGACAGTAGAACATACAGATGTCGTGCCGAACAGTGATCGTCCAACCAAAAGTGATTGCTGGAGTGCACGTAGCATGTTAAAGCTGTATCGCCCAGGCAATTATCTTTCTGACTCTACATTACTTAACTTGCTGTGTACCAACCAATCCACTCCTTTTTACCTGTTGAAATACCTTTAAATAACACATAAAATACAGTATTCTACTTGCCAGAAAGTGATTGCAGCCTCTACTTATTGACTGAAAGGTTATTTCTGACTCAAAATGACTTGATTTCATTCAGAAGAGTTATATTTTACAGATTATAAAACTGAAATTGTCCCCCCTTTTTAATTTCATATATACCAAACCAAAAATGTCCCCAGTTTTCATTTCAGAAATCTGGTACCTTACTAAACTAAGACCTGAACATGGTCAACATACCTGTTAAACCTTAGCATGTTAGCATTGTCCTTGTGAGCATATTATCTTGCTGACATTAACATTTTAGGAAAGCACTGCTGTGCCTCAGTACAGCAAGGCTGGTGGTACTGTACACTTTTGTTAGATAATACAAAGATAAGCATAATGTGTGTTTTTATGTCTGTGTTACATGAATACTCTTTCCCACTGATTTTGTGAATTTGGTGAAGCTATTAGTTGTGATCAATGAATCAAGTAATATATCCTAAAATCTACTTAAACTTAACCCATGTTTTATACTGAGGTGTTCAGTTGGCATTGCTTTGGTTGGAGTGGCTGCGACCCAGAACAGAAAACCACTGTTTGAGCGTCAAACAGGAAAGTTATTTTTTGTTTGATGTAAACCATAACTTTCTCTTCTTTTTTTTAATGATTGTGGGAGTGCAGAGAAGCTGCTGAGACCTCCAAATGCAATAATTCCATTTCCACTCTGCGAGTAATCTTTCAGGTCCATTCTGTTATCCTGTGTCCTCTCAGATAGCCAGCTCTCCTGTGAACGCTTTCATACTCTCACCTCCATGCCTCGGCTCTGACACTCTCTCCTCCTCAGATTCCATTAAAAAGCATAACTTCAGCTCCTGGGGCTCTGATCAAATAAGGCAGCTAATGCATTTTTCTTGCGTTTTGATTTTTTTCCCCCAATGTACCTCATATTTACATATAGATTGAGTATTTATCAGACTGCATTTTAAGGCAGATTTACTGTAGTCCACTTTATTAAACCATGTTGGATTTATGTATGTTTAATGAAAAGTTAATGTAGGGAGTGTAATTCTTTGAATGAGCGAGTATACTTGGTATGTGGGGTGAATAGTGAAGCCGGAGTTGTGGACAACTGCACTTTTAAGTCTTTAAATGTCTTTGGTGGGGTTTGGTCATTTTATTTAATGGTAGATAAGATTGTGCCCTTCTCTAAGTAGCTATAATGAAAATTGTTCCACGAACATCATGGGATTAACAATACAAAATATCAATCATCAATTTCTTTATCCTGCTGTAAAAGTAGATAAAAGTGAGATAGGTCACAAACCACGCAGTGCAAGTACAAGCTGGAGCAGGTTATATATGATTCATATTCCCTGAGGTTACCTGCCAATTCTCTTCAACCACACATCTAGTTCAGAGAAACAGTTATTACCATTAGCACAGTTAAAAGAATAGTTAGACATTTTGGGAAACATTTTTATTCCCTTTCTTGCCTAGAGTTAGATGAGAGGGTCAGCCAGGAGGCAGTTGCCTTAGCTTAGCATAAAAACTGGGACTATAGGGACATGGCTGGCCTGGCTCTGCCTGGAAAGGTTGCACAAAAACTTCCTGGAGTGATGACAAAGTTCAAGGCACTCACTGCGCCTGGGCAAGAACAACTCCAGCATAACCCCCTGTAAAACTACAAAACCAAAACCACTTTTTGTACGGCTTAAACAAATGAAATGTAATGT